AACGTCCTAAGAGCGACATCTGCATGTTGCTCACTATAGATTAACGGCATCCGAAGAGCGACATCTACATATTGTTCAATATAGGTTAACAACATTCAGAGAACATTAACATGTTCCTCAATATAGATTAACGACATCCGAAGAGCGACATCTAAACATCAGAACATTCTAAACGAGTGCAAGGAGAAATATGTCATCTATTGAAAGCAGATCTAAGGTGACAAAGCTTTTTTTATAATTGTAGATATATAAGTATCTTCACTGATTTAAGTAAATATAGAATATATAGTTGAATGGACGGCCTGTCGTAGAAACATAAGTGTAGCGGACGACGTTTCGTCTATTTACCAATGTTCCAATCTCAGAAACCCTTCATATCATCAGACAACGACTACTGAATGACAACTCTCTACCACAGAACTGACACGAAGATAGATGCCACCATGGAACTAACGACTATTTACCTACAATCAACTTATTTACAATACAACGAGGAATTCTACGAACAAACAGACGGTCTAGCCATGCCATCACCACTCTCTCCAATCCTAGCAGACATTTTTATGGAAGACTTTCAAGAAAGAGCCCTATCATCTACATCTATAAAACCAAGTTTCTACAGACATTATGTTGACGTTATTTGGTTCCACGGTTATGAAAACTTACCAACCTTCCTAGAACATCTTAATTCTATAGACAACGTAATCCATTTCACCATGAAAATAGAGGAACAAACCATTATTTCATCACAACTGTATACAGAAAACCCACACGAACAGATACCTACACTTCCAGTCCTATCATCCAACCTCGATAAAACGTGATATAATCCAATGCCTAAATAAGAGAGCAGAAAACATTTGTGATAAGACGTCCAACAAACAGGTTAACTGGGTACTCCAGTTAGTTGTTATAATATTGGATACCTTTCATTTGTTCGGGTTCAATACATTTAAACAGTAATATTTTTGGATTAGACTAAAGCCAAATCAGTGATAATGTACATTTTTGCCTGTAAATAATATCAAGGTATCAATAAGTTATAACTCTAATTCATTTATATCACTATGTTTTTCTGTTTGGAAAACATCCATTTATACAGTTTATAACGTGTAGATAAAGAAAACATGAAAAAGGCAGAAATGGAAGCAATGAAGCAGTGTTATGACGTCTGTCGTGTTCCATGCATGTAAGTACATTATATTTTTAAATGTTACTTGGGCTATTCCTGTATTTCACAGTTCTGCCACGCCACAATGCTCATGTGTTGCAGCTAGTCCTGTATCTTACTTTTACCTAATGTAACAATACTCAAATCGAAGTTGATCCTTTTCCTAATCTTTTATAATGCAACACAGTCTACTACCTAAGAACAAAATTCTGGAACACACTCTCCTTAAAGGAGTCAGACTAAGGATTTTATTTTTAGGGAGCAGACTGTTTATACACACTCTCCTTACAGGAGTCAGACTAAGGATTTTATTTTTAAAGAGCAGATTGTTTATATACACACTATCCTTACAGGAGTCAGACTAAGGATTTTATTTTTAGGGAGCAGACTGTTTGGGCTTTCTCTCTCTTTCTTTACAGATGTCAGACTAAGAATTTTGTTCTTAGGTAGCCGGCTGTTTGGACATACTCTCGGTACAGGAGTCAGACTGGGAATTTTTTATGTAGCTGATTATTTGGACACACACTCTCCTTACAGGAGAAAGACTAAGGACTTTGTTTTTAGGGAGCAAACTGTTCAGACACACTCTCCTAAAAGGAGACACTCTAGGGTTTTAGTTTAGGTAACAGACTGTTTGGACACGTTCTCCTTACGGAAGTCAGACTAGGGTTTTTGTTTAGGTAAGAAACTGTTTGGACACGTTCTCCATACAGAAGTCAGACTAGGGTTTTTGTTTAGGTAACAGACTGTTTGGACACGTTCTCCATACAGAAGTCAGACTAGGGGTTTAGTTTAGGTGACAGACTGTTTGGACACGTTCTCAATACAGAGGTCAGACTAGGGTTTTTGTTTAGGTAAGAGACTGTTTGAACACATCCTCCTTACAGAAGTCAGACTAGGGTTTTAGTTTAGGTAACAGACTGTTTGGACACGTTCTCTTTACAGAAGTCAGTCTAGGGTTTTAGTTTAAGTAAGAGACTGTTTGGACACGTTCTCTTTACAGAAGTCAGACTAGGTTTTAATTTAGGTAAGAGACTGTTTGGAGTCGTTCTCCTTACAGAAGTCAGACTAGGGTTTTAGTTTAGGTAACACGTTCTCCATACAGAAGTCAGACTAGGGTTTTAGTTTAGGTGACAGACTGTTTGGACACGTTCTCCTTACGGAAGTCAGACTAGGGTTTTTGTTTACGCAAGAGACTGTTTGGACACGTTCTCCTTACAGAAGTCAGACTAGGTTTTAGTTTAGGTAAGAGACTGTTTGGACACGTTCTCCTTACGGAAGTCAGTCTAGGGTTTTAGTTTAGGTAAAATACTGTTTGGACACGTTCTCCTTACGGAAGTCACACTAGGGTTTTAGTCTAGGTAAGAGACTGTTTGAACACGTTCTCCTTACAGAAGTCAGACTAGGGTTTTAGTTTAGGTAAGATACTGTTTGGAGACGTTCTCAATACAGAAGTCAGACTAGGGTTTTAGTTTAGGTAAGAGACTGTTTGGACACGTTCTCCTTACAGAAGTCAGACTAGGGTTTTAGTTTAGGTAACAGACTGTTTGGAGACGTTCTCCTTACAGAAGTCAGACTAGGGTTTTAGTTTAGGTAAGAGACTATTTGGACACGTTCTCCTTACGGAAGTCAGACTAGGGTTTTAGTTTAGGTAAGAGACTGTTTGAACACGTCCTCCTTACAGAAGTCAGACTAGGGTTTTAGTTTAGGTAACAGACTGTTTGGACACGTTCTCCATACAGAAGTCAGTCTAGGGTTTTAGTTTAGGTGACAGACTGTTTGGACACGTTCTCCTTACGGAAGTCAGACTAGGGTTTTTGTTTAGGTAACAGACTGTTTGGACACGTTCTCCTTACAGAAGTCAGACTAGAGTTTTAGTTTAGATAACAGACTGTTTGGATTGGGAGATTCTCTTCTCAGACTGTGGACTGTCTTAACATACCCGCTCACTGACTACATCTAAGTCTGTTCTTTAGTTTCTCATTACCGAGTGCTTAATGATTCATTTCCTTGTATTTCGAGATAGAAAACACTGACGTAGATTACATATTACAAGCGATGTTAAATGGTGATTATATGTTTGATGACAGTTTATGAATAAGGAATAAGCGCAGTGTTTTGTTCGACTCTGAGTTCACGTGACTTGAAACAAAAAGAGGACAACCATCTGTACGAGATTAAAGAACAGCATTTGTGGAAGTACATTTTATTTTTAGAAATAAACATTTATGCATATACATATATATATATATATTTCTGTGGTTGAATTAAGATACTTATGTTTTTGTTTGGTTTTTAATGAAGAAACTTTGTTCAAAATTAGGAAAGTTTTACAATACAAATGATCCACAAGATTAATTAAGTTTGGAGCATGTTTACTTTATAATGTTGAGCTAACTACAATAAATATTATTTATAATAAATACATATATTAATAATTATACGTAAATGAATATTGAATATACAAAATTTCAAGCGCAAATTAATAATATTTACAATACATTACTTTACATTCTATATACTCATAAGATTTTATTTAAGTTTCAAATATTAATGATGTTTTATTTGTAATATAAATTAATTTTCAGGTGTTTGTCAATGTTAGTTAACAGTGTTTTCAATACTTGTGTCCCTAGGTGGAATAGCGGTAAGTCTAAGGACTTAAAATCTGGGGATCGAATCTCTGTGGTAAATACAGTAAATAACCCACAATAGCTTTGCTCTAAAATAAACAAATCAATACTGGCTTAATGAATATTTTTTATCGTTAAATAGCATTTTTGTTTTATTTGGAATATTATTATAAGTTTTCGTTATCGATATATATAACGTTTTATTTTTTGTTGTTGTTTTTTGTTTTAGAAATTTGCAACCTCTCAAGCTCTTCAGCTCTTATCTGGAATACCATTTTTTTTCCAATTCCATATACCTTTGTTAAATTTTTTATAGATTACGTAATAGTAAGATATGTAAATTTTTTAAATGTAATCACATCTCTGCAGACAGACGTTTTTTCTTCTTCCAAACACGTTTCAATTGATTGCCATTCCTTCATTTCTAGGCGGATTGAGTTAAAACTTAGTAAGGTTATACCTTTGTCCAATAGGCCCAGATACCTTTTTAATTTAATTTGATTCAGTCCTCTTTAAAGTAAAAAAAAAAATACAATATATATACATATATATATATATATTGGGCTCCTGTGTGGTCATTTTCACAACAATTAAGATAAAAATTGGCACAAATATAAATTTTCATCTGCCCAACACATAAAAACCGGAGAATGTGCCCATTTTTAGAGTTTTTAAAAGCATAATTTTGGGTTTTTTGCCCAATTTACATGGAATTTGGTAGTAATTCTAGAGGTCAACATGCCACAAAAAGCATATTTTCATGGGTTTTTTTACAATTACTCCACCATATTTGGCCAATTTACATAGGACTGGGTACAAAGATAATTTTTTACGGGCCCCAAACAGAGATATAAACATTTTTTTAATTTTTGTCTTTTGCTTAAATTTTCACAATTTATGGTTTTGTGAACTATTCATGTGTATGTCAACCAAATCACATGGGATTTGATACAAAGATACCTTATTTCAGGTCTCCAGCAACGATACCTTATTTCAGGTCTCAAGCAACGATACCTTGTTTCAGGTCTCAAGCAACGATATAGACAGTTTTCGATTTTTAAATGGTTTTGACGATTTTTCTTCTGTCAAAAGTGGTCATGTTGAGATTGCATGGCGGAGACATTTTGCATTCACCCGCGAATGTTGACCTCTTTAATTTTGTATCATACCACACTATGATAATGACATCATACACCTTATAATACTTTTTTAAACTGTATTATAACTATTAAAACGTCTTTAAAAGTTACCTGTCTTGACATTCCTTTCACATAAGTGATATTCAGTTTGCTGGTGATTTCTTGAGCATGTGCACACTGGGTCTGGTATGGAGGTGGAAGCATGATAGTTGAAGTCTGTAAAAAAAACTAATATACGAATCGCCGAATAATAAAATTGGAATACTTGATTTAAGCCACGTTTTGGATATTTAAGTATAAATTGATTTAAGTAAATAAACCACAATAAAAAGGTTTCAAGTTTGTTGTTAAAAATGGTGTTTGTATTGATGGTTGTATCAGTTAGTACCGAGGTTACACTCATATATGTTCTTTAATAACGTTCAACTTCCCCATGACACTTGAAGAAAACAATTATTTTAATTATGGAATATAATTAATTAATTAAATGGTGTTTGTATTGATGGTTGTATCAGTTAGTACCGAGGTTACACTCATATATGTTCTTTAATAACGTTCAACTTCCCCATGACTCTTGAAGAAAACAATTATTTTAATTATGGAATATATTTTTGATTTCTGACAAAGAGCTTTTAAAACACAGATGAGTACACTATTCAACATAAAATGAAAACACTGAATAAAGATATATCAAAAATAAAAGTCTAAAAGTAATACTTACCTGCTGGATTCCAATCTGATAAGAAGTCCCAGCCTTTAAATCGATCCCCTCGCTTTCAGGATCTGGTAATACATCAGGGTCATGGATAACAACTCTCGCTCCCAGATCTCTGTCGTACACCAAATACTCGTGTGGTTCGACGTCCAGAGTGAAATACATTTCTGTTTAGAAAATTATAAAGTATGTAGATATAATTTTAATTGTGTTATAATAATTAGTCTCTACAGTCAGATCCTATCTAAGAATTCTTCAGCTAATCTCAGATATTCTGACTCGCTGTTTGTCTGGGGATATCTGATAGTCAATAGCTACCTACAGATTATTCAAGGATCTTCTGACTCGCTGTTTGTCTGGGGATATCTCATAGTCAGTAGCTACCTACAGATTATTCAAGGAGCTTCTGACTCGCTGTTTGTCTGGGGATATCTGATAGTCCGTAGCTACCTACAGATTATTCAAGGATCTTCTGACTCGCTATTTGTCTGGGAATATCTCACAGTCAGTAGCTACCTACAGATTATTCTATGATCTTCTGACTCGCTGTTTTTCTGAAAATATCTTACAGTCAGTAGCTACCTACAGATTATTCTAGGATCTTCTGACTCGCTGTTTTTCTGAAAATATCTCACAGTCAGTAGCTACCTACAGATTATTCTAGGATCTTCTGACTCGCTGTTTTTCTGAAAATATCTCACAGTCAGTAGCTACCTACAGATTATTCTAGGATTTTCTGAATCGCTGTTTTTCTGAAAATATCTCACAGTCAGTAGCTACCTACAGATTATTCTAGGATCTTCTGAATCGCTGTTTTTCTGGAGATATCACGCAGTCAGTACCTACCTACAGAATCTTCTAAAATCATCCGACTTGTGACTGGTTTTTTAGGCGCTCCAATTTCCCATTCTCCGTTGATCGTGTAACACATGTAGTACTTGGGATCAGATAATCTGGAAAATCTATTAATGGAGAAAATGTTTGCAGAACATAATATTATCAATTACAAGACATAGTTGAATAAAAAATGTGTAATATAAATTCGTATGTGTACATATATTGTAAATACCTTTCCCTAACTCTTCTACACATCGTAGAATGTACAACATCAACGAAATAGAACACAGGTATTATGAAACAAGTTCGGATGAAATTACACATTAAATAATAAAATGTCAGTTATGTGCTTATATTTAAGTTAATATATGTTATAATCTTATTTTTGTTTGAAGTTAAGCACAAAGCTACACAATGGGCTATCTGTGCTCTGCCCATCACGGGTATCGAAACCTATCGGTTTCTAGCGTTGTAAGTCCGCAGATATACCGCTGTGCTACTGGGGGGCTATAATCTTATTTGAAACTAGAAATGGCTGAAGTACTAATTGCCTAACTTATGCGGACTTGCCTGAAGTAATTATTTAAATCCTAAAGGTTATGCAGACTTGCCTGAAGTAAATATTTAAATCCTAAAGGTTATGCAGACTTGCCTGAAGTAAATATTTAAATCCTATAGTTATGCAGGCTTGCCTGAAGTAATTATTTAAATCCTAAAGGTTATGCAGACTTGCCTGAAGTAAGTATTTAAATCCTAAAGGTTATGCAGACTTGCCTGATGTAAATATTTAAATCCTATAGTTATGCAGGCTTGCCTGAAGTAATTATTTAAATCCTAAAGGTTATGCAGACTTGCCTGAAGTAAATATTTAAATCCTATAGGTTATGCGGACTTGCCTGAAGTAAATATTTAAATCCTATAGTTATGCAGACTTGCCTGAAGTAAATATTTAAATCCTATAGGTTATGCGGACTTGCCTGAAGTAATTATTTAAATCCTAAAGGTTATGCAGACTTGCCTGAAGTAAATATTTAAATCCTATAGTCATGCAGACTTGCCTGAAGTAAATATTTAAATCCTATAGGATTTATGTAAACTCTAAGCGATCCTTATTACTAGATTAGAAGTCCACTAATAACTCGTGTTAATTCTTGTGTTAATCTTCACGTCTGTATTTCTATATAATTCGACAACTTAAAACAAACGATCTAGATTATGCAGGGACATATAAGCACACTTCCACACTAAACAAAGATATCTCATATCAACCAGATTATTTTGTGCATTTCGGCGAACACTAATTTGTGTGATTGCTTATCTTTACGTGCCTCGTAGGAGGAACAAAAATGATTATTTTCAAACCGAATTTTCTACACTTAAAATTTACACATATGTATGTACTAAATATAAATTGGTGTTTTCAGGCTTAGTGAATTTCAACATAAAAATTTAAAATATTCATTCTAAATATTTTCAATAAATATTAAACTGTTAAACTTATTTATATGCGTTCAGTATTATTTATATATTATCAGATTTGTTTGCTTGTTGAATGTTCGCGTAAAGCTACTTGAGAATTTTCTATACTTCCTGCCCGTAATTTTGAAAGATTAGTTAGTAAACAGTTAGTAAACATCACCAACCGCCACTTCTTGGGCTACACTTTTATTAAGGAATAGTGGGTTTCACCGTCCTATTATAATGCCCCACAGCTGAAAGGGCTAGCGCCCTTAACCACTAGACCATGCCTGGCCCCATATTATTTGGCTATGGTTACAAATATCACCACATGTTGGTTTGTTTGTTTGTTTTTAATTATGCACAAAGCTACACAGGGGCTATCTGTGCTCTGCCCACCACGGGTATCGAAACCCGGTTTCTAGCGTTGTAAGTCCGCAGACATACCGCTGTGCCAATCACATGTTGGTTACGAATTGCCTAGAGTTTCAGGTATTATGTTAGTTTATTTATGCATTTCAAACTACAATGTTCCTTTTACTTTACTGAAAAACAAAATTTTTGCTCGAAAACTTCGTCATGCTCTCTTTGACTGACTGTATAATAAAAGGTAGTGAACTCGGTACTTCAACAAGAATTATAACAGTTTTAAGCCAGTAAACTTACTTCCAGTCACATATTTCATTAGCAATTCTATTTGGTTCCACTTGGCAACTGTGAATCAAGTTTCCATGCATATGACCCAGCCACCAGAAGATCTTCCCTTTCTTACAGAAATCTTGCACGTGCCAGTCTTCAGCCCACTATTGTTAAGTAGCATATACATAATAAGGAAAAAGTTTTATGATAAAATTAAAAAGACTGTTGAGTATTTAGGTTTGTAATGATATGATAATACACAAGGAGCAATTGAGGCTTACAGTTCTTACTGGTACAATCATGTGTAAGGAACGGCTTAGCGGTACACGTTCTTCTTCTGGTATTTTAACGCGTAAAGAATGATTCTGCATTACTGTTTTTACTAATGCGATAAATTGTAAAGAATGACTCAGTATTACCTTTTTGATGGTATCATAAAGTGTAAGGATGACTCAGCATTACTGTTCTTACTGGTAGGATAACGTTTAAGAAATGACTCAGAATTACTGTTTTTACTAATGCGATAAATTGTAAAGAATGACTCAGTATTACCTTTTTGATGGTATCATAAAGTGTAAGGATGACTCAGCATTACTGTTCTTACTGGTAGGATAACGTTTAAGAAATGACTCAGAATTACTGTTTTTATTGGTAGGATAATGTGTAAGGAATGACTCAGCCTTATCGTTTTTACTGGCAGTATAACGTTTAAGGAATGACTCGGCATTATCGTTTTTACTGGTAGTATAACGTTTAAGGAATGACTCAGCCTTACCGTGTTTATTAGTAGGATAACATGTAAGGAATGATTCAGCCTTGCCATTTTATTGGTAGGATGACGTTTTAAGGAATTAGACAGAATTACTACGTTTGTTTGATATAATTAAAGACAAAATTGTTGTTTTTCCGTATTATTTAATACTAGTGAAAGTACCCAGCTTCGCTCGGGTTATCAGGTTGATATATCTTAGATGATTATGTCAGTGTGTGTATTCTGAACCTATTGTAGCATAGAATAACCGTAAAAAAATTTTAAACATAATTTTATTTCCCAGAAATATAAAAGAATCGTAAAGGCACAATGATAGTAAAATTAGTATAGATAATTATAGATGCCACTATACATCACGTTATCTAATCCATATAAAAGCCCGTGTTTCACATCACGTCACGCTTGATTTCTCAAAATAAAAGAGTCATAAAAGCCAAAATGCATATATCCGGATATAATAGTTCGTTTAATGTCTGTCTATTACGATTTTAATGACGAGGGTGCAAGGGGGCGTGAAGGGGTTGCCGTGAAACCTTGTAAGTGTAGTGAATGTTGGTATGATTTAAAGAAGTTAATAAATAAACCTAAAGTGAAGACATAGTGTTAGATCACCTAGCCTAGAGCCAAGTTCATAAAATTTATCATGCAAGTGAAAATATCGTTCCACTTTTAAACATAAATCGTTTCTGAATTTAATCAACGGAGACTCGAAATTAGGAAATCAAGAAATATTTTATTTAATTTTATAGTTCATACATTTCATTTTATTCTTTCTGTACATAGACTAACAACAATATTAGGTTATACTTTTGCTACTAAGCAACATGACACATAAAAGCCATTGTTGGAACGCATTGTTACCAAAACTCACTTGCTTTTGTATATATTAGAAGTTGTTATATAAGAAACCACTTCCTTTCTATGTGGTTTTTCACTAGCTTGCCTCATAAAAAGATGAGCGCTCATGCGCGTACATATACGGATAAGTAATAATACCCAGGTGCACACCCTCAGGGTCCATTTAGCATGAATGAAAAATTCAGGTTTCTAGGTTCTTTCCTCTTGGAGCTACGACAGTCACATACACACAGACCCCCCCCCCCCCAGACACGCCCTTTTATAGACTAGTGAAAGTACCTGGCTCCTAAATGATTACGTCAGTGTGTGTATTCTGAACTTATTTTAGCATAAAAGAAAAGTCAAAAATATTTTAAACATTTTTATTTCCCAGAAACATAAAAAAAGTCGCAAGGGTACGATGATAATAAAATTATTATAGATGCCTCTATACGTCACGTTATGTAACCTATATGAAAGTAAAAATATCCAATTTTAGAATTGAATAAGAAAAGCAAATAATATAAAACAAATTTCTTTAATCGACAGAGACTATACATTAGAAAATAACAAATATATTTTTTCAGTTTTGTAGTTTATACTTTTCATTTTATACTTTCAGCGCATAGACTAACAACAATATTAGGTTATACTTTTATTGCTGAACAGCATAACATAAAAGCCAATGTTAGAACGCAATGTTACCAAAACGCAATATCATATTCTGTATAATACAAGTTGTTATATAAAGAACCACATTTTTTCTATGTGGTTTTTCACTAACTTGCCTCATTAAAAAGATGCGCAGGCGCACACGCACATGCGTGACTGTCTGTCTGTGATTTCTATTTGTTATGTAAGGAAATACACCATTAACTAATATTTGATACAATTATTGTGACAGTAGACTCTGAATGAACAACTTATTCACCACATCGCGATGTTGAAAAAACACTGTTCACCGATTTGGTAACCAAAACTAAAATGCCATTGATAAATCAAAAATTCATACTGAATGTTATTAACAAAAACTATAAACATTATTAGATAGCTAAGAAAGTATCACTGATGCACCAAAAACGTAGTACCAATATTGTTAAAAGAAGCAGTATAATCTCTGTATTGGAAAAAGAAATGTCACTGTTACACAAAAAGTCGATTCTGCAATTGTTGAGAGAGATAATATTCACTGACTTGGCAACTAGAAGAAACTATTGGTACACCGAAAAGTTCCTACTGATGTTGTTCATTATTCTAATATTCACACTACTTTTCTATGTTGTTTTTCGCTAGGTTGCCTCATTAAAAGATGCGCATGCACGTGTGTATCTGTCTGACTGTCTGTAATTTCTATTTGTAATATAAGGAACCACTTCTTTTCTATGTGGTTTTTCGCTAGCTTGCCTCATTAAAAAGATGCCCACGCGCATGTACGAGGATAAGTAATAATACCCACGTGCACACCCTCAGTGTCCTCTTAATATGGGTGCAAAACTTCAGGTTATGTCGGTCACACACACTCAGACACACCCTTATATTATTATAGATTCTAGTTTTTACGTAACACCAGAGATATTTATATTTGCCAAATAAATATGGAAGTATATTTTAACCCACCTAAAATTTGTATTACCTATACCTTCTGTATAAAAAACAATTTGTGAATATTATATTTGCTGATTTTAATGTGTTTTCTTTCTATAAAGCTTAGTTTACAGAACGTCCACATGTATGGATAATATGTATACATGTTAATTATGTAGGGTATGATTGGCAAGTTCCTTTGGTGTTATTAAACAATGTAGTTTTCAACAGTCAAGCATGGAGAAAAAAGAAACGTAGATAAAAACTCACATCCAGCGGTCAATAATTATTAACAATTCTTTATCCATACACGTTAGTCCACACCATATTTCAAAAATGTGCCAAGTTGGTTGATTCCTTTGTTTAGGTTGAAATAACTACTTTATTTTTGCTACATTCTACATCACAGGAATATCGAAAAATCAGAAAGTCTTAAGAAATAATTCTTACTTTGTGGTATAATTCTGTTCCATTAGAGACACAAGGTTCACTGGTTGGCCTCATAGCACAGAATGCACTTCGTCGCATTCTTTAAAATAAAAAATAAAAATATACATTAAAAAATCTCGTTAGCTTTTCAATGGAATTAACGGAATAATTTTAGTATTATGATAGGTTTGACTTAGAACTGAAATTTTCATAAAATACCCAGTTTGGTGTACAAAACTTGATGATAGCTTTTATATGCGGACACATCTGTTAGCGGAGTTTTTGCACAGATCTTAAAATATAACGTTGATAAACGGAAACATCGGCACATGTAGACATGCAGATCTTGAAAGTCGAGTTGCTCAGAACTTGAAAAAAG